AGGAGAATGGTGACTTTGTCCCTAACCCAGAAAATAATGATCCCAAACCTTCCAGGCATAAGATTCGAAATAGGAAAGATATCCCGAGCATAGCTCTGGCCAGCATCGCGACCACACTGGTCTCAGAGAAACTGCAGAGATAGCAACAGCTGCCTGGATTGACGGTGGTTTGATAACACCTGATGATGTTCACCTGGTGATAGATCATAACAAAGTAAGGAGAGCTCAGGAGAAACTTGTCAGTAACCTAGAAGAGGAGTTTGATAAGGGGATAAGAGAAAATGGAATCAATTGTTTGTTCTTTGATGGGAGAAGGGATGACACTAAAGTGTTCATAAAAGTTGGAGATTCTGACAAGTTGTTTCCTGCCATGGTGAAGGAGGAACACTACTCCTGCTGCAGTGAACCAGGAGGGAAGTATTTGTGGCATTTCACTCCAGAGAAAGATGACATCAGGAAACCAGCTGAGATAGTGGCAGATAACATTGTGAACTGGCTCAGAGAGAGGAACGTAGACCAGACCCTGCAGGCCATTGGAGGGGACAGCACCAACACGAACACAGGGTGGCAAGGGGGGGTCATACAGTGGATAGAGCGGAAGATTGGGAGGAAGCTGGTCTGGATTGTTTGTGACCTCCACACCAACGAGTTGCCACTCAGACATCTGATCCAGGAGCTGGATGGCAAGACTCTTTCAAACAACAGATGGTCTGGTCCTCTTGGCAAGATGCTGGACTCTGCCACTGAGTTAGAAATAAATCCGAGCTTTGAAAAAATCACAGTTGGCCCTCCACTCGTTGAGCTTGCACATACTGTCATTGACGACCTGAGTACTGACCAGTACTATGGTTACATGATTTGCAGTGCCATCAAAACTGGGGTCATGCCTGATAGACTTGCTTACCTGCAGATAGGTCAGTCTCACATTCTAGGTGGCTCTAGCGGCTCTCAGGTTCTGCAGAATTTGGGTCGCTCATCATAAACTGAAAGGGAACAAGCTTCACAACCTGAGACTTATTGTCCAATTCATCGTGAGTGTCTCTTGCCAAATTGGTTCAACACCAAGGTCAAGTCATCGTTCTCCGAAGGTCCGAGGCATGTTCTCTTCCAGCTTGAGCTCCTGAGGGAGTCAGCCAAGGAAGGTTGTTCAGATTGTGGAGCAGACTGAGGAGATCTTCCTGGTATGCTCATCCCGAGGCAGTTCTGCAGACAATGCTCTGCAGTAAGGATGAGGAGGAGAGAAGAGTGGCAGTCAAAAAGATCTTGGATATGAGACTTATGAGAGGATCTGGGCATGACGAATCAGTTGGTGACGATTCCTTCAGGGTCAGGAAGACTCCTGAAGTCAATCTAGGTGCCAAGACCCTCACTGATCTCATAGATCTGGATAACATCCAGGCTGGCAGTGAGCCCCCTCTTACCTGCAGCCTCACCAATGTTCAAGTCAGAGCTTTCCTGGACAACCCCATGCATGTCCCTGCCTGGCCCTCGCACACCCAGAGTATAGGCGTTGTGTACAGCAAGTGGCCGAGGCCAGCAGTCACGTGTACAGCCAGGAGAGGAGGGAAGGCTACATCGAGCTCAGGTGGTCAGCAGGGAGGTGATGAGTAGAAACAGAAGCAAGAAAGACATGTTCTCTATGGTGTGCAGCAACACCGGGTCGTAGTAGTAAAACCGGTTTTTGTATTTGATGATTTTGTTTTCTAAAGGAATATTAAATTTAATAAATGTGTCAAGATCATTCGTTTCACTATTCTGGACCATTTTCATCCTAATAAATTAACCTGATACATTTACTTTACTTTAAATAAGCTATTTAGTGGTGTTGGTAAAAGGGTGGGAATACAGTACTGAATTTTCATAAGATTTCAAGTTAAAATTTACCTAGCAAAAAATGAAAACTTTTCAAATCTGAAGATATCACACGATTCTGCACATAGAACTACATCATTAATACCATGGGCCGATTTTTCAAACTCAAAAAAAAAATTCGCCTCCGTATGACACACCCTAATGCACAGGCCACCCGGCCTATTGCAGACTCCTTATTTTCTTATATTCTAAGAGGAACTTGAAAATTTACCTGTGGGGCCCTGTGTATATACAGTGCATGTCAAGCGATAATTACCCCAATTCGTCACCATTCATTATCCCCTCAAGGGTAACCAGATCTCTGCCTAAACCAAGAGCCATGAAGATAGCTCCCCCCATAGAACTGATGTCACAACGCCCATAGTGTGAACTAGCCAATCAGTGGAATAGGTGCCAAAAGAATCAGTGAAAATCAGATTCTCTGTGTGGGCTGGTGACAACAGTACAAGGTGGTAAGGTTGATCAATGTTTCTCTGTAGCCATACGGGTGTACAGTACAGTATAGTGAATTCCCTCCCCCACAGTATACAGTATCTAGTTAGAAATAGGGACAAGACATGCAACTTCACATCACGTCTTTTGTTGAAGAAATGTATTTAGCCAGATAACTTTTTACATTTCCCCCAACTAATATAATAACAATAATGGGTCCCCAGTAACAGATGGATGAGTACACGTACGTAAAGAACCAAGTGAACCACCGTTAATTAAAGTGCCTACACAGGAGCAAATGAAATTAATAAAACACTACCTTTTGTTATACCACATTGAACAATGTGCCTTGTTACTTCAAAACATTCAAGTGTGAATCTGGTTTCACACATTAGACATGTTGAACAAACTTTGAAAAAATATCAATAGCTAATACATTGGACACATCAAAAGCACACACATTTTATTATTTTTATATAACATCAATTCATTGTATCAATTTCAATTCAATTCATTTAAAAAAAATTCCTTCAATTCAAATTCAAGCATTCTCTCAATCAATTCTAATTCATAAATGATCCCATCACTGTTCATGAGGTCTGTAAGGTTGATTTAATAAAGGGAAGAATCTGTTTAATAGATGGCGCTGGCCATCAGAGTTGAATATCTGATGTACCGGTATAGGACTTGACATTCCTAGTACAGAAGAATAGGAGTATGTACTGTATGTGGACCCCTATGATTGGTCCTGGCCTTGAGCTGGATGATCTGGTAGGGTTCAGAGTTAGTTGAAGAGTAACTGCCCTGAGATCAACACCTTGTCTCCTGCCTCCCAAACCATAAGTATCTTTTTGTTATCATACTTTTACTGCTCCAGAGTGATTAGGTACTGTAGTATATTGTTGTGTTTAAGATTTACTCATTTGAGTCCACTTACACAACAATAACATGCCTCATGAGTCTACTTACACAACAACAATATGCCTCAAATGAGAAAAAGTCTTTTTTTATGCTGTAGATATTTGTCCAGTTCTCTAACCAATTACGAAGTTTTTTTAGACTTACACCGGGAGTTGATAGAATTGGACATAAATGGAAACGAGAATCCATTGTGTCGTCAGGTATGTTTTAAAAGGTTTTTCTACTTTTTCTACCAAGTCTTTTGTTTATCCTTTCATTTAAATTTTGACAATTTACACGTACTCTTCATAAATATTACATATTAATATATTTGTCCATTAAATATTTGGATGACTTTTCTTTTAAAATACACTTAATCATCCATTTATTATAATATATCCTGCTTTTAATAAATGCTATAGTCTCTCCTTAACATTATAATTTTCTGCTAAGTTAGGTAGGTTACTTTAGGTTAGGTTGGTTAGATCAAGTTCTAATAGGTTCTATGCATTTCTGTTTCCATTTATATATTTAATAGAATGTAAATAATGTTTCCACAAAATTTCGCCCAATTCTATCAACTTCTTCTGGTGTTAGACTAAAAAAAAATACCCTGCCTAACTTATGACCAGACAAATATCCATCCTTTTCTATAATGCCAAATTTATCACTTCTATTGTACATCACTTGTCCCAGGAGATCTTTTCACACCACCCACACCTCAATAGGGCTATACAGTAATTGCCTTTGTTGTCATGAAGATGTATGTTCATTGTCATTTAGTAGCAGTCTACTACCTGCCATCACCCCCCCCCCAACCCCAAGTCTCGGCCCACACATGATCACTTTTATTTATTTATCATTTCCCCACTTATCAGCTTACTGGTCAGTTTGTCCAGTACAGGATGCAACTGGTGTAGCTTCCCTTAGGAAACTTGTGATGTTTGGTTGTGTCTCACTTAAAACACTCCACCCTGGCTGTACAAATAAAATTAATTCCCTGTAATTACTTTCTTTTTTCTTGTGCATGAATATTTTAAATAAAAAAATAATAATCTTGCCCCCCCCCACTAACAAGATTAACAGGCTTTCCCTTACCTGAAGTCTAAGGGTTAAATACCTTTAAATTATTTCCGTGTTACCAACTGCTGTATATTTGTATTCTATGCATTACCATAACACATACAGTACTATTAATGTGAGTGCAAGACTACTGTATAGGACATCCTTACATTTAAATACCATTATTTTATATTTGACAGTAATTTCTGTACTTACTACTGACTGGAAACATACTTTGCACTCATTTTTCTCTTAATCTTTGATATTTAATAAGGTCATTTTGTACAAGCATATCATGTCAGGTACAGTAATGTATGTTTTTAAATGATTTAGGAGGAATTTATCAATTTCTAGTGATTCTTTCATCATATTGCCACTGTTAAATTTTACGAAAGCATGGTAAAGGGTTTTTGTGTCTTAATAATTAATCTTTTTTTTAACATAAGCATCTCACTATGCTGCCTAACACTTAACACCTTATTTCCTTATTTAACATCATAATGCTGTTATAATACATTATCTACCCCACCCATTTTTTCAGTAAAAAAAACTGGTTTCACTAATTCACTAGACAAGTTTGGTGAAAAATATCTAAGAGTACATGAATTTTATTTTAAAAGAAAAATTAAGACTAGCTCCCCTGAGTTGTCCCTCCCGGCTCCCTCACCACCTACCATGGTATTATACTTACATCGCAACACATAAGAGCATACATTGATTTATATAACACTTACCCTGGCGGGCCAGTGCGGATATCCTTTGACCTTGGCAAACACAGCATCACCAGGTTTAAACACATCGGTTTTGGGCATTTTGAATGTGTTCCTAACGCGAGGATGTTGTCACACGTCCCGCCAGCCCGGAGTGGCGCCAAAGAGATTGATGCCGCTAATACTCTCTTAATATAAATTATTACTTGCTTTAAATATTCTAAGTACAAAAAGGATATGAGAGGGTAATTTCCTAAGTTTATATATACTACAAACTGTGGTATATGAGTCAGTAAAGTGGGCAGCTATAGAGGACACACTTGGCGGGGACTCGCCGCCATAATCGTAAACAACGTCTGGTAAATGACTATCGCCTTGCGTCTCTTCACTAACTCACTAAATAGACCTTACTCAGTTGTCTATACTGTTAACACTCTATTTTTTTATATAAATAGATAATATTGAATAAAAATTACAACTTGTTTGGAGAATACTGTTGAACAATCATTTTTTCAGCTTAATTCATGGTATACGATTACCTTGCGGATTTGTGTGTCTTCCACATGTTATAAAACAATTATTTTCATGTTGGTTACTCATCATTATGGCCATAAATAGCATTAATTTTGTTAAAATACGTTAGAGATAATAGTATCTTGTGTTATTTGCTTCTTTCAATAGACCAACACCAGAATATTGGTCATAAACAAAAAAATAACTGTTCAAGTAAAAGTCTCCATTAAATTCTGTCTCTTGTTTAAATATCAGTACTCTTAAAGATGTGTATGATATATTTCATCAAAGTTCTTATGTTTGTTGAAGGAGAAAGGGTTTTAAATTCATGTATATAAGTGCGGCGTGACTGAGTGCGCAGGCGCGGGTGTGCTGCCAGCGACAGTGATAACACACACAGCACCTTCACTCGCTCTCCTTATTTAACAATTTTTCCACAATGGGTGAACCACAGAGCGCATTGTTACTCCGGAAACAGTTGGCAGGTAAATTTTTTAAGGATTTTATGAATCAATCACTGTATTTTCTTGTGTTTAAGGGGTGTTTTTGAGGGGTTAATAGGGAATGTCCTTCAGGCAGACGATGGTTTGTGTGTGTGGGGTACAAGTCACACAAAGCATGTGTGTTTCTCCTTTCTCATTCATGTATGGCCTCATCTCTTATAATGGTTGATTTTTACGAGTGATCACCAGAAAGAAAAATCTGTAAGTAAAACCCCAAATGAAATTCAAAGGAATATATTTATTCGTATCTTTGTGCTAACAAGACCTCGACCGCTCAGGGTCATTTGTGATTTATACTATTATTACTTTTATTATCATTGTTAATGGTCATCTGAAACACATTAATTACCTTTTCATATAATTTCTCGGTTAAATAAATACGTATTATGTAATCTAGTTAATGTAAATCATTAAATAGACTATCTGTGAGGTGATGTACACTCGCTTTCATTATCATAGAATTTTGAATTAATTTATGCTAACTATTTCTATAAACCTAAATTATATGTTTTATGTGTGTGTGTATGTGCGTGGTGGGTCACGATATACCACAGTTCCTCACCCACTTAGCCACATCTGCAGTGTATCACATGTTATTGAATATCTTTGTTTGGATCAATCATTCATTATAACTGTAAACAGAAACAAAAGACTTGGAAGATATTGTAGATCAAACAAGAAACTATTATAAGGACTAGGAGATTATAATGAAGTGGTGTAAGGTAACAGAAAACTCTCCCAGTCCTTCTTTATATTAATGTCTTTGTGGGATAAAATGAGGCAAAAAAGTGTTGCCTGTGGTGTAGATAATTATACTATCAGAATTGCTTCCTATCAAACCATTTGTCTCATTTGAATTTTAAATCATATTTTCAGTGTAAAAAAATAAAATAATTAAATATTGATTTATCCAATAATCAACATTTTTTTGAGGAGGGGTCAAGTTCTGTGAGTTATTTTCGAGTCAGTTCAACAATACTGCTTGTGTCAAAGATGAGTAGTACTGTAGATAATTGTCAGTGGTGTAGGTGTAGTATCAGGGCCAGATTTTTTTTTTATGCTGGAAAGAAAATTATGTATGTTACTCTTATGTTAGGTAAGTAGAGTACCTGTGTAGTTTAAGGAAACTTGAACTGTTAGGTGATAGATTGCAGCATACCATAATTTTCTTTAGAAGAAAAGTTGTGTTTCTCCTAACGGATTGTATTGGCCAATGTTCTCGACTCCTTTCTCCTCCCACAGTGGGAAAGGGGAAATTCTGTACAGTGCTGGAATAACACACTTGCATTCATAACATAACAATCCTAAACTAACTGTACATACTGCATGATGCATATCCACCATGACATCAAGTTTTACAAAATGGTGGCACTTTATTAGGGACACTTTTTACATTACATGATTTTTATTGCTTTTTAAGATTTATGTGACAGGTATGACAGAATAAAGGTGCAAAATAACTTTCCTATAAAAAAATCAACAATTTTGGATTATTCATCAGAGCGAGCATCTTTCAGTTTTATACATTAGTCCCATATATTTTGTGGTTTCTCTACATATATTCTGTACTATACTTGTAGCATTGGTATTGATTCTAGTACCTGTATTAAGTGTTGTTACAGTAACATGAAAGTTCTTTTCTAGAAAGATATGTTACCCTGTAAATGATTACTTAAAAAGAGGCCTTATTTCACCTGGTGATGGGCACCCTAATGCTTACCTACCCCAGGTAGCATTAGGGTGTTCATTCATCAGGTAAAACAAGCTTGGAGGCTCTTGATCTGAAAGAAAAATACAGTACAGGTGTACAGTACTACTGCAAGACTATTAAGAAATCTCTTGACTTTTGGAAGCAAACAAATTGAAACTGCTAACTTCGACATGACTACCAAAATTACCTAAGGATCATTTTATTTCTTTGGTTTATTTTTGAAAAGATTATTAATTGGCATCCTTTTCATAGTTGCCTTCTGGCACTTTCTGAAAATAGTGTGTGTTGAGGGGTACCCCTCATACTTAACGTAACAGCTTGTGTATACTTCATCTGATATTGATTAATTTTAAACCTCACTGATATATATATATATATATATAAATTTTTTTTTTTCTTTCTTCGTTGTATTTTATTCATTCACAGTTTCATCTGTTTTTTCTTTTCTTTTCTTTAGAAAAACTTATTAGAAGTGGTTGTTAGGTTGGGTTGGGTTATTTTATGTAGTTTCCTTTAAAGTTATACTTTATTTCATCAAAAATTAAAGTAGACTTTAGGTAGTATACTTCTTTATTTGCTCTGACAATATTGTTGGTTTAATAAAAGTGGATATCAGTATTCTATCATACTGTTATATCTGTAACCCAAAACCACACATGGAACACTACATATTGAACATAAATATCATAAACATAATATAGATCTTGTGAAAGCAAGGTACAGTACCCAGCTATGCAAGCTCTCCTTTTTTAAAAAGTACATCATGCTGTTTCTTAGTCATTTCCACTTATGTAGGCAAAGTTAAGTTAGGTCATATTTACCTGTATGGGTTAGATTTGGGCTGATGGTGTGAATAATGATGACTATAATTAATTTGATGGGAATATGAATACAATACAGCATAAAATAAGTGAGCTAAGCAGATCTGGATACAGGCGAAGTCAACAAAGATATTAAGTCAGGATTTAAATACGAGGCTTTTTTTCCAGTTATAAGGAAAGATCATCTATTTTTTATAGGAGTCCCTTAATATACCATTAATGCAGTTTCTGATTCACAAAATTTGAAGTTTACTTGTTTTTAATATTTCATGTAGATCCACATTGGAAACGTGGGCAGGATAAATCTCAAAGAAGGGAAACAATGGAGCACTTTAGCTTTTGTCTTTATTCAAGACATCTTCAGAGGCAACTGAATTTACAGGGACAGAGAGAGGCTTATATACACAGGATGACCTTACAAAACATCAGGTCAGGTCAATAACATGAGATCCACTAATCCGCACACCACCACCACCACCTCAAACATAAGAGGGGCTTATAAAAGTGGGTGATGTAACTAGTCATGTCAAGCCAGGTCAAGAATATGAGACCCACTAATCATCTATTCTACATCTACCTCAAATGCTTTCAAATAATTTTTAACTTTGGGCCATTGACAAATAAATTTATATAACATCAATTTTGTACTGACCATCACAAAGGTTTATAGAATTCATTTCCCTAATCAAACTTGTTTCAACCAGAAGAAACAAATGTTAGAATCAATTAAGAAACACTGGAAAATAATATCTCGTACCAATTGGCGGAAATTGGGATAAAAACGAATTTTCACCCAGTCTTTTTTATGTGGTTATTCTACTAGCAAGATGTTATAATCCTTATTCTACTAGCAGGCGGTTTTAGTTATTATACTACCAGGCTGTTATATTGATTATTTTACTAGCAGGCTGTTATATTGATTATTCTACTAGCAGGCTGCTATATTGATTATTTTACTAGCAGGCTGTTATATTGATTATTTTACTAGCATGCTGTTATATTGATTTATTTTACTAGCAGGCTGTTATATTGATTATTGTACTAGCAGGCTGTTATATTGATTATTTTACTAGCAGGCTGTTATATTGATTATTCTTCTAGCAGACTGTTATATTGATTATTTTACTAGCAGGCTGTTATATTGATTATTCTACTAGCAGACTGTTATATTGATGATTCTACTACCAAGATGTTAGTGATTATTCTACTAGCAGACTGTTACAGTGGTTATTCTAATACCAGACTTGTTATAGTGGTTATTCTACTAGCAGACTGTTACAGTGGTTATTCTAATACCGGACTGTTATAGTGGTTATTCTACTAGCAGACTGTTATAGTGGTTATTCTACTAGCAGACTGTTACAGTGGTTATTCTAATACCAGACTGTTATAGTGATTATTCTACTAGCAAGCTGTTAGTGATTATTCTACTGGCAGACTGTTATAGTGGTTATTCTACTAGCAGACTGTTATAGTGGTTATTCTAATGCCAGACTGTTATAGTGATTATTCTACTAGCAAGCTGTTAGTGATTATTCTACTAGCAGACTGTTATAGTGGTTATTCTACTAGCAAGCTGTTAGTGATTATTCTACTAGCAGACTGTTATAGTGGTTATTCTAATACCAGACTGTTATAGTGATTATTCTACTAGCAAGCTGTTAGTGATTACTAGCAGACTGTTATAGTGGTTATTCCAATACCAGACTGTTATAGTGGTTATTCTACTAACAAGCTGTTAGTGATTATTCTACTAGCAGGCTGTTATAGTGATTATTATACTAGCAAGATGTTAGTGATTATTCTACTAGCAAAATTAAAGTGGTTATTCTACTAGCACACTGTTACAGTAGTTATTCTACTAGCAAGCTGATATAGTGGTTATTCTACAAGAAGACTGTTATAGTGATAATTCTACTAGGAGACTGTTACAGTAGTTAATCTACTAGCAGAAATATAGTGGTTATTCTACTAGCAGACTGTTACAGTAGTATTTCTACTAGCATGCTGTTATAGTGGTTATTCTACTAGCAGACTGCTATTGGTTATTCTATTAGTAGGCTGTTATATTGGTTATTCTACTAGCAGGCTGTTATATTGGTTATTTTACTAGCAGGCTGTTAGTGATTATTCTACTAGCAGAGTGTTAGCAGTTATTCTACTAGCATGCTATTATAGTGGTTATTCTACTAGCAGACTGCTATTGGTTATTCTACTAGCAGGCTGTTATATTGGTTATTCTACTAGCAGGCTGTTATAGTGGTTATTCTACTAGCAGGCTGTTATATTGGTAATTCTACTAGCAGGCTGTTAGTGGTTATTCTACTAGCAGAGTGTTAGCAGTTATTTTACTAGCAGGCTGTTAGTGATTATTCTACTAGCAGGCTGTTATAGTGGTTATTCTACTAGGATGCAGTTAGTGAATATTCTACGAGCATGCTGTTGTCTGC